ATTTGACTCACCTCATTCAAATAGTTTAGCCGCTAGAGCGTTGCAAAACTGAAACAGAACTGTGATTTCCTCAAAAACCTACATTGTTGTGAACACTATTGCCACGCTTCTGGTAAGAAAAGAAGAGAGGTTGAAGGCTTTCTTAAAAGCTCTCCAAATTATCTAATCAATGTTCTTCGATTTCACTCACCTCGTTCAAATAGTTTAGCCTGCATTTTTTGTGAACTCTATTGCCACGCCCCTGGTAAGAACAGAAGGGAGGTTGAGGGCTTTCCTGAAAGCTCTTCAAATTATCTAACCAATGCTTTTTATTTGACTCACCTATTTAAAATACTTTAGCCGCTAGAGCGTTTTCAAAGTTGAAACAAAAAAGTGTTTTTTCTCAAAAACGTACATTTTTGTGAACACCATTGCCGCTCCCCTGGTAAGAAAAGAAGAGAGGTTGAAGGCTTTCCTGAAAGCTTTTCAAATTATCTAACTAGTTCTTTTATTTGCAAAGTTTAAACAAAAATGTCATTTTTCTCGAAAACCTAAATTTTTTGTGAACACTACTGCCACGCTTCTGGTAAGAAGAGAAGAAAGGTTGAAGGCCCTTCTGAAAGTTGTTCTTATGAACACGAATTGTTAACATCAAAAAAAATTGAAATCGCTGACAGATTTAATAGCACCTACTATTGTGCCCGGTTTCAAGGTTCATAATTATGTTGTACTTAAGATAAAACAGGATAATAATGTTTTACAGTTCATACTTATGTAATGCTTAAGCACTGAAAAAGGGAGACTTAAGCAGTGCTTAAATAACAGCTGATTTTTGATTTGAATTTTCAGTGATTTGTGAAAAAAAGAATAACAAGATATAGCAAATTGTATTTTGTGAAGAAAAATATCTAAACGGATTTTAATTGGGATTTTGACTGTGACCCAGAACACGATGAACTCTGGAAGGTTATAATAATGCGACGAACAAAAGAAATCAGGTCGTGGCCAAAATTCTTCAAGCTATAAGACGATAAAGATTTCCGCGACAGATTTCGGATTAGCAAAAACACAGCCTGGAATGTGCTCGATTGTATTCGACTACAAATTGAACACAAAACCAAGTGGTACATCTAAATTGCCTTAAACGTCTCAATTATGTACACATTTCTTTAGAAATCACGCATTATCACCAGAACAAATGCTTTTACTTACATTGAGGTTTTATGCTTGAGGGCAGAGCGGTGTCCAGAGTTATAACTGTAGTTTCGCACCACATAGCCCAATTAAAAGACCTGAAAATGTCTCAGAGAGACTTTTTTAAAATACCTAAATTTCCTCGAGTGATCGCAGTAATTGACTGCACTCATGTAAAAATAATTCTGCAGGTAAAGAAAGTGAAAAAAATACTTTACTCAACAACCTTTTATACATTTTATATTCAGGTGGGGAAGATGCAGAGCTATTTCGTAATAGAAAAAGTATATTTCCATCAACGTCCAGACGTTATGTGATAGTAATCTCCGCATCATAGACATCGTTCCCCGGTGTCCTGGATCTACTCATGATGTTACTATTTTCCGAAACTCTCGCATTCATTGTCGATTAGAATCTGGAGAATTTGGTTCTGGAATAGTAGTTGCAGACAGTGGTCATGAAAATAACCACTTCGTGATTATGCCACTAATGCACGTCAATACGAGTGCCGAAAATCTTTTTATCGAGTCTCATATAAGAACTCGGAATTGTATCGAGCGCTCAGATGTAGTCTGGAAGCGAAGGTTTCCGGTATTATCCCAAAGCATTATTGTTGCTACAGCAGTATTACACAACATCTGCTGCAATACTTGCGATATAATGGCTCCGCCCCTTTCAAATGAAATTGAAGATGTTGTAAACAATATGATTAATATACCCAAAAATCGCAATGCTGAAAGCCATACAATAAATAATGTTACCAGAAAATGTTTAATAGATATTTACTTCAGTTTATTGTAGTTTAATAAATACGTTTATAATTTTACATATGTGTTTCACCCTTCCAGCTCCTTTTCTTTTTTCCAAGTCTCCTGCTAAAATTTGCATTTGCAAATCATGTTTTTCTTTCATCAACTTCATTGATAGATTGTTACTTCTTCTAATAAATTCATTCTTTGTTCGCGCTCCGCATATATTATTTTAATTTCCGTTTCATATTTTCCTTACGTCCATTTCGCTTTCATATCTGCTAACTTTGCCCAAGCATTTTTCGCAGATCTTCTTGGGTTTTTGTCAGATTCTAGTTTTAAGTTTTTTGGTATTTTCAACTTGCTGGGATCATATTTGTTCCAAAGCTGGTTTGATTCAGCGTTTAATGTAACGTTGTCGGATTCTAAAAGACAGATTTCTTTGTAATGATTCTGGTATTTTTTTACTTTAAAATTCTTTACCATTTATTCCTTTATAATTTTAAACTTCAGTCGTGATTTTGAAATCCACTATGCTTCCTAATGTATCTTCCTCCAATATAACGGATTCTATTTTAGAGAATTGATAAAATCAAACATTTGTAATATCTTGAAAATAAAATGAAGTGTATAAACTCACCATTAATATTTACGGCAATTACATCATTGTCGTACACACTATGCATGCCACTAACTTGCTTCTCATGCAACACAGTCAAAAGTTTTTCGTCAAACTCAGTTAATAATTCCTTTGATGGTGGTCCTCTTCCAGTAAAATAAGGGATCTTTTATCCTCTGCAACTTGCTTTTGTACCTCTCTTTTCAGATTGAGATACTTTTTCTTCAATATTTTTGCACTGGCAGCCAGATGGACACTGTGAATTGAAATCATATTCGATACGCTTCCATGCGGCATCTTTTTTAGCGTTCGTGCAAGTGTCCGTCCGCTTGCATTCGATGACAGCTTTATATTTCCCCACCAGTTCCAATAGCTGCTCCGACTCGCTTGCGGTGAAATTCGGGGTCCTTTTCTGGGTTTCATCCATTTACGACATAACTTTCCTTCCAAATTTATACGTTGTCTATAATAATTTAAATATTTCAATCATATGTTTGTGGATGGCATTTGTAAAACATATTGTATGTTGCCCACAGTAGCAACAATACTTAGCTAATATTTTATTTAGGCACAACGTAAATATGGACTAATATCTTCATACAGCAAAATCACATGACACTGTTGGTGTCTACTAACAAACAAAAAAAACAAAAACAATAATAATAAAAGTGAAAATGCACACTTTCAGCATATGGGTCTCTATGTTCACATTAGACTCTTATTTATATACACATATTCATCACTATTGTGTGCACTGGACAAATTCAACATATTTCTTATTTGTCACAATTCGAAATTTAGCAAGCATTTGTTATTCTGAAATAAAAAGCTCTTTTCTTTGTAAGTTGTTAAGATGTCAAATGCCCTTGACAGCAGTGCTCGTTATGAATTAAATGTCTGATTGTTCATCTTGTTGTGAAAATAGAAGATATTTTACTTTTATTATTATTCTTAAACGAAGACGAAAATTGTGAGAATAGGAATCGCGCCCGGCATTTAAAATTTTTACGCGACGATAGCAATCCATTTTCTTTGAGCGAGAATATCTTTATGAAAAATTTTCGATTAACTCGTGAAATTTGCCGAAGCCTAATTGATGAACTGGCCCCACATGATAATCAGAAAACGTCACTACCTTTAACTGTAAGGGTTCTAGCAGCTTTGAACTTCTTTGGACGTGGCTCATATCAGAAATGTGTAAGTAATAACGTCAACTTGCCCATGAGTCTGTCGTCCCTTTTGAGAAGTGTGCTGGCTGTAGCAAAACTTATTGTGAAGGTGAACGGAGTAGAAATAAAGTTTCCCAGTTCAACTGAGGTAGAAACTTTTATAAAAACGGGGCAAGCATTATTTTAATACAAATAACAATATGCATAAGTTTAAGCTAATTTATTTGAAATATATTCCAGATTTCTTAGAAAATTTGGAATAAATAGCACCATAGGAGCAATTGACTGCACGCATATTGCCGTCATTGCTCAACCATCAAATAATGTCGGACGTCCTCTTAATTTATATTTAAATAAGCAGTAAGTTTTGTTTTTGTATGCACATACATATATGCTAATGCAATTTATGAACGGTTCGTTTTTTAGGTTTGTGATCACCGTTTAAGTTTCACATTTATAAACGCCAAATTTCCGGGTGCAACACAGACTCTCTAATTTCAGCAACTTCTGACCTACGAGAACATCTCATTCGTCAGCATACTAATAAGTCTGAGCAACAGCGGAGAGAATCTTGACTTCTTGGCGATCAAGGTTATCCTCTAGAACCGTGGCTTTTAACACCAGTGGGAACACCTGATACCCATAAAGAGCAAAAATACAACAAATTACATGGTTCTGCAAAAAACTGCATAGAGAGAGCATTTGGTGTTTTAAAACCTTGCTTTAGATGTTTGTTCAAGCACCGAGTTCTACATTATTCACACGAAACTTCCGCTTTGTTTTCTAGTACTTGTGTAATATTGCATAAAAACGTGTGGGCCATATTAAATTTTAAATTTGAAAAGTCTATAAAAAACGGCTTGATATTTTTTAAAGGTCTACCATTTATTTAAAAGGTTGTTTTATGAAATTTATTTGTAGAAAACAATTTCGGACAAATGACCACCACGGCAGAGTTTACAGTAGCTTATCCGATTCACCCAATTTTGGAGTACTTTCTCGATGATTTCAGGCCTTATGGCAGCTACAGCAGCTAGAATCTCGTACTTTAGATCTTGAATTGTCCCTGGATGGTTGGCGTAACATTTATCTTTAACAGCTCTCCACAGAAAATAGTCCAAAGGTGTTAAATCGCAGCTTCTGGGAGGCCAATTCACATCACCTCTTTTGCTGATTATGCGATTTTCGAAGATAGGACGTTAAAGATTGAGTGTTGCGTTTGCTGTATGGCACGTAGCACCGTCCTGCTGGAACCAAATGTTGTCGAGGTATTCCCCTTCAATTTTCTTGAAGAAAATTTCGGTTAACATAGCGCGATATCGCTCACTATTGATGGGTTCCTTCTTCATTTTCGAAGAAAAATGGGCCGATGATTCCACCAAATTAAAATTGACCATCCTCGGTCAAACGATCTTTTGCCCAATCTGCGACGGCTCGGGTGGTCAAGTGACTTAAGCTGTTGCACCAATTGAACTTTATATGTCTTCATAGCGAGGTCGAATGGTATTTGACGTTTCCAATGTCGAAATATAGATAATTAAAATTTAAATGTTAGATGACCCTTGTATAATATAAGCAATTATAATAAGTTACAAGATTTTTGTTGTTACTCATATAATTCGAACTTTCGCTACATTTGTACAAGCAGTATCGCTGAAGCTCAGTGATTAATTGAGGATTACATGGGATCCTTGGTTTTTGAAAAAATTCCTCTAGTATTTCATCAACTGGCATATCAATATCCCTATGAATATTCATTGATGCTAGACTATTAAGTCTATCTTGACCTGTCGTATTTCGTAAAAAGGTTTTAATTCTCTTTAATCTTGAAAAACTTCTTTCCGGTGACGCTATTGAAACAGCCGATAATGCCAATATGCATATAATCTTGAAAATATTCCCAAAAGACGTTTTGTTCACTGCTTCTAAACCTTCGAGAGCATTCCGAAGGCAATGCTTGCCTGAAGTTCGCTGTTTCCACATTTTCACCACCACAAGAAAGATTTGTTCTGAACAGTTCATCACCCTTTCATAAAATGAAAATATTTCGCGAGCTTTTTAGCGTCAAATTCGTACTTTGAGAAAAATACACAAACATTTTCTAACACTGGATATCAAGAAAGGGAATATAAAAAGCAATGCGATAGTATGCCTCAGCATCGTTCGTTTTCAAATTGAAGCGATTCATTTGGCGACTACTGTAGCGTGGTACCTTTATTTCTGTACCAAGTTCCCTGAATATTTCTTCAACGTTATTAAAAATCAAAAAAAGTTCTTTCCGGCATTTTGTCGCATTTCTTCGAACTCTTTTAAAGCGACGTACGCTAATCTAATGGCTACTGCGAGATCTTCATCGGGCGATTGTAATTGCCGGCTGAGGGGTAGAACGACTGCATGCACGGATTGCATTATAAAGCAGGAAATTTGCAATTCTGCACCATTATTATGCACCCATACGCACTATAACCTGCCCCTGCACACAATTTTACGTAGTACATGGTCGACTTTACACTTTACAAGCTCCTCATTATCGCGTGCATAATTATTTGTCAGGTTACATAGTTAACTCACTCTTTTCAACCGTATTATATGATTTTTCGTAATTCAACTATCCTTATACCCATTTCTGTGAACAAGACAAAATTTGTCGTAAAATAACTGAATTTTCGCAAGGGAACTGCTATATTAAAAATACGTTGAGTAATAAAACTTTTCATAAAAATTATATCATAATGAAAACTTACCTTGTTTTCCAAGCTAAGATATGTAGATGGACTTGCTGGATGGTGTTCGGGATTTGGAGTTGCTTCTATGGGACTGCATAATTGCAAAGTACTACCCGTGGGTGATGAAATTGCGCATTCAACCGTTTTCTCAATGGGCCTTAAACCAAGGCTTTGTACATTTTTTTCCCATCTACAGCAGCCAACCCAAATGTAGACCAAGCCATTCCTTCAACGTCCGTCATCGGCTTGGAACTTGGACCTCCATCTGTGAGCCTTTGATTCAATTTCAACCACCTTGCACGAGTGCGCAGTTGACTTTCCCCAACGTCTAACGTTTACAAATTATCACAGTATAATAAATACACGAATATTTGTATCAACATAAACTAAAATGTTACATGGTTCCATTTTGCAGTTCTTCGTATTAGTCCTCTGCACGAATAAATTCATATGCCAGCTGTTGCCATAATTCCTTTATCTGATGAGCCGTTTTTGGACAATTTCCCTGTACCCAGAAATGGGTGTGCTTGGCAAAATTAAACATATGCCTACAGCTGCTCGTGAGTATCTCGATCGTGTTTTGGTTTACTATCAAATAAAAGTTAAATTATAAATTTTGTTAATAACTAAAATTTGAAAACTTACGTTACAGAAGAGTCCATTTAACAAATAATTTGAGTAGAAATAAGATGTTTCTATTTACATTATTTTATTTACGAAGCTTTTACTTTTATCAAGATTGCCACAAAATACTAAAATATTTCTAGCTTGATAAATACTTCAGTTAATTTTTAATATTGTTTAAATGACATCCTAATGAGGCTGATTACTACAACACAACTCACCACACCTGTACCACTAAACGAAAAGGATGGAGAGCAGGATAGGAAACTTGTTACATCCACAACAATTCCTACTAAAGAATTATTTCTAAACAATTTGTCCCATATAGTTCGCCGTCACTTCCTATTACACACTGCGCGGCGTCGACACATACGCTGATATAACCCGTTCTACAAAATTCAACTACGAGTCGTGTCTATTCGATCGCAAGGAGCGATAAATCGTTCCCGGAATTGGAGTATCGCCGCCTCGCCGGTCTATATCATTTTTAATGCGTTTATATCTGTAATAAAATCAATAAATTTAAATTTAAATAAACTTGTTATAAATCGAAATGTATGCAAAGTAAAACGGACATTTTTATTTAATTTATTGCAGCGGTTAGTGCTCTCCAATATATCCAATATATATTTATTAATTTGTCAAGTACACAGAATAAGGGTGATTATATATATTGAGCAGAATGTGAAGGGATTTTAGGATTGCGCACTCGTTTACATTAAGGTACGTTTTTGTAAACCGTATAACATACACATTTTTATTCTGTCAGCTTCCTGCAGATTATCCTAGTTTTTCCAAAATTTAATTATCGGACAACAATTTTTTGCGTTCAATTTTTCAATTGCGCTATTACTAATTTTGAGTTATTTTTTTCGATTGGCTTTTCGTTCAATTGGGAATCAGGGTTTTTCTTTTCGTTCTCGTTAATCGATTTCCAATTTTTCCAGATTGATTCTGAGCAAGCCAAAGCCAACTATCACCAACCTTTCTCCAAGCCAGCAGTTCACAGAATTAAATTCATTAAATCATGAAAGTTCGGTGGGCAAAAATAGTACTATGCGGACAAAGACGGGCCTGTTGAAAAAACAGTGCCATTTAATCCGCTTCAATTAGAATGTCGGCTCGCCATATTAAATTCACTTAGTGAAAAGTTAATGAAAAGCCAATCTAACATTTAAGAGATGTATGAAGGCGGCATGGCACGAGGACGTAATTGTTGAAACGAAATTCGTAATTAAAAATATTTTAGCCATACCTTCATAGCTCAAGGCTCCGTAAAATAAATTTGCCGAAATTCAAGGGACAATAATCGGAATTTAAAAATTTCATGAGTCTGTTTGAGAGGTTGGTTCATAAAGATAAAAGTATCCCAGATATTGGAAAATTTAACCATTTGGTTAATTGTCTATCTGGAGAAGCTTTCGAAACAGTCAAGGCATTTCAAATGTCGGACGTAATTTACCTGAAGGCATTGGCAAGTCTCAAAAAGGTCTATGATAACAAATGCTTGATATTTTTCAACACAATTTCAAAATCTTTAGAGCTATCCCAAAGTCTGCTGTTTAAGACTCATTGCTATTATTATACATACATATATAGTTATGACAAAGTGTGACTCTGCCACACGATCCAGGAGGGAATAGCAACTTAACTACGATTACTTACCATTATGGTAGCACTGCGAATACACTATAAATAAATGATTTCAACAGTTATCAACGAAAGGAGCGTCTTGTGCGAGAACGGTCTCGGGAGCCACAACCAAGACGAGTCACTTGAAACAGCTACACATGGACAGGACAAATTCAGCTTTAGTTGCTGCAAGTACAAAGCAGCAAATTTTTCAAAAGTGCAAGTCGAAGGAAAACCCTTTAACTACCTGCACTACTTTCAAGGCGCTTCTGGTACAACAGAGGTTCGAGTTTGTGAAATCAGGGCCCTTATCGATGCCATTGTTTGCCTAAGGGGCACATCGTATCCAAGTGCAGAGCAGATCGATGTCGTGTTGTTGCACTAGCATCCAGCTTCTTTCCCTGCTGCAAATAGCAACATGTTGGCGACAGCTGTTATTAAAGAGAGGACCAGTTATTGTGAATACCTGCCTGCAAAAGCGTTTCTGGAGTCAGGCTCCCAAATCCGCACAAAAGTTTCGGATTGGACGCCAACACAAATCGTTGAACATAGTGGGAATTGGAAATTCCAATACGAAAGTGAGGACAAAATTAAATCAAATGTTAAGTCGCGGGTAAATAGTTACCAATTTTCTGCAGAGTTCTGGATAATGCGTTTCATTTCGGCTAGTCATCCATGTGCTAGAAAATAATGAATTGGCAGACACCGAATCCATGAATTGAATTCATTAAAGGTATTGAAACCCTTTTCGATCTGTTAGCTATTGGCCTAATTAAAAGTGGCCCTATTCAACCATCGTTACAGAAATCCCTTTTAGAGTGGGTTTTGTCTGCAACTAACACACTATGGTGTCAAAAAGTGATTTTTTTTTGTGAATTCAACCCAAGTATTACCTTCAGCACGGCTTCAAGTCAGAATGTCTTTAAAAGCTGCCCATAGATTATATGGTCACTCTTATAAAACCGCAGACCGGTGGTTTCCGGCCCTGGAGAGAAGAACCGTGAAAGATTCAGAATTCATATATGAAGACAGCCAAGAAGCTATGATGCTTCTTTGGTCATATCGTACTTCTCTTCCATCGGGGCGTGCGTGCAAGTCGATTTGTTGAATAACCTCGCTTTGGTACGGATTGTGGCTGGACGTTCATCCATGGCGGCGAACGGTTGTACTCGGCGACTGAGTCGCTCTTCCACCACGAATCCCACACCAAACTTGCGCTTCTCTTTATGGCCATTGTAGTAAATGCCAGAACGACCTACTAACCTCAGTCTTTGTCCCGTCTATCGCATTTCTTGAAATGCTGTGATGTCAGACTTCATTTTCACGAGGATATCAACAAGCTGGGTAGCGACACCTACTTGGTTAAAGACCGGAAGTCGTGAGCTACTTGAGCCATACGTAAAAGACTCGTTCCTGGCCACTTCCAAGTGAATGGCCATCAGACAACTTTCCTTTCTCACTTGCGCGAACTTCTATATGTGACTGAATCCCCCAGGAGCTACTTTGGACTAAATGGCTATTGAGAAGTAAAGGTCAATCTCGACGAACAAAAACAAAACTCTTTAAGTCACTCATTATTTCCGTCCTGCAGCATTACGTAGAGGCATGAACGATGACAATATCTAGTGAGTCGACATTACGAGTCTTCGAGAGTTTTGCGAAAGAGTTGTTTTCGTTTGAATGTTTGCCACAGCAAATATCGCAAGTATTCAACACAATATTCGTCGGGGGAAGCACAGTACGTACGCCCACCGATTGGAATTTAAGTGTTCTCTGCGTAATCCACAAAAAGAGAGACCCACAATCTGCGCCAAATACCGTGGGATAAACCTCCTTACCGACAACAAACTGATTCACCTTATAGGTGTGTCTTTAGACCTAGGAAATCAACAACGGATCAGATATTTGGAAAATACCTATGAAAGGAGAATCGACACACCCCACCCCTTCGCCTATTTCAAAGCTGCTTACGACAAAACGAAAGGGAGCTACCTTTATGCAGCGATTTCTGAATTTGGTATCCCCGCAGAACTAATACGGCTGTGTAAATTGACGTTGATCAACACTAAAAACTCCGTCAGGATCAGGAAGGACCTCTCCGAACCGTTCGACACCAAACGAGGTTTCGCAGAAGGCGACTATGTTTCGTGTTACACCTTCAGTATTCTTCTAAAGAAAATAATTCGAGCTGCATTACTAAACCGAGAAGGTAGAATCTTTTATAAAAGTGTACAACTGCTGCCGTAAGCCAATGATATTGATATCATTGACCTTAGCAACCGCGCCATTAGTTCTGTTTTCTCCAGAATGGATAAAGCAGCGAAGCAAATGAGTCTGGTGGTGAATGAGGGTAAGACGAAATATCTCCTGTCATTAAACAAACACTCGTTGCACTCGCGACTAGGCACGCACGTCACTGTTGACTGTTATAAATGCGAAGTTGTACATTATTTCGTCTATCTTGGAAACAGTATCAACACCAACAACAACGTCAACCTCGAAATTCAAAGCACGATATCTCTTGTCAGTGGCGAGAGCGGAGGAAGTCCTCCACTCCGTTTGATGGACCAGGTGGAGAAGGTCCTGGCTTTGCTTGAAATCTTCAATTGGCGTCATGTCGAAAAGAAGAAACGACGAGTCCGCCGGCTGTTTGTTAAGTTATCTGTAAACGCCTAAATGTCGGAAAATATAGCAAAACAGGAAAAGCGATCTCGATTGCGGTCTTAATACAGTTAAATTTTTTATTGCAGTTCATATTTCACTTAGCCTAAAACTTAAGCTAGACGCATAAAATAGTTGGAATATAAGTATATAAGATAAGTTAGGTTAAGGTAAGTATGTTTAATACACAGTACAATAGCTAATCTGGGGGGTGAGAAATTCCAAGTCAGGGTGATGGTACTAGGTCAGTATAGTAAAACCCTAAAAGGGTTTGTCGTTCGTATGTGTCAGTTTTTTTTATGACCTTTTAAATTTTATCGTTATCTTGATGTTTTTTTCGCTTAGTTATAACATTTTGGCAAAAACGTGGTTTAACATAACTTTGATGAAACAAATTTAGAAAGATTAAGAATTACAGTTTCTCTAATCTATTTCTATACCGTTTTCCTATATGTGCAACACTTTCGAAGTTAAAAATTAATGTATGAAGGAAAAAAGTATTTTTTCCTAAAAATTTAAATATTTTTTTTTACATTCATAAAAAATCCAGCAACACTGGTTCTGTAATGTGCACATAAAACATGCATTGTCATTATACTTCTTCTCTTTCTCACACTGGTTCTTTGATTTTTGTCATTCACAAGTGCCGACGAACGCGAACAGTAAAAGTAATTTTTCTCAAATTTTTTAAAAGCGAACAAAAGAGAACAAAATATGGTACTGTGCAATCCAGATATAAATAGCTTTTGCTACTGCTGTGGTCAATATTATCTCAACACATAAAAAAAAGGGGAAATTTCAGTACTGATTTTGTTCAAACATACGAGATGTACTTCAACCAAAATGTTATAGCGACCGAAAATTGGGTACCACATATAGTGTGTAAAAGCTGCTACAACCGTCTAATAGATTGGAAAAGTAGAAAACGTGAAAGTATGCCATTCGGTATCCCAATGACTTGGACTAATCCTAGCGAAGGTCACAATCCATTGAATTGCTGTGCATATGCGAATAAAAAAGCAGCAAAAAGGATAAGAAAATCGTATAATTACGTTGGTGTTGCAAGTGCCGCAACACCATTGCCTCATTCGGACCACATTCCTGTGCCAAAAGCTTCTAGTCAAGATATTTTCTCTTTTACGACTG